GTCAGCCTTTGAGTATCTGGTGTTACAGGCATGCACCACTATGCCTGACAAAACCTTTTTCTTTGGTTGTACGATGCCGTTATCTCCTCTCTTTCCTCTTATCCCACTGGCTCAACCTTTTTAGCCTTCTGGGTGAGGTCCTTTTAACATAACTTCACATGATGATGTCTTCAGAGATCTACCTTTACCCCATATCACTTTCCACTCTACACATTCTCCTAAAATAATCTCGTCCACTCCCATGGCATGGTATCTTGAATTCTCCATGTCTTTCACACTCCCAGACTTTTATATATGTTTCTCCTGCTTAGAATGTATCCTCTCCTCTTTTAATAAACCTGCCTAGTCTTTCTAAGGTGAAGTGCAGGCCTGTTCTCCAAGATATCTTGACTGATGACCCCCAGTGTGAGTAGATGACTCTTCCACATGGTCCCAGAGCACCTTGTATCCACCCCTCTCACTGCATCTTACTATGTTGTAATAATCCGTTTATCTGTCTTTCTCCATGAGATTGCCTTCTAGGTAAGGATTATGGCATGGTTACACCGGCGTCTAGCACAGGGCCTGGTTAATGGAAGATAAATAAATGTTTGTGAATAGATTTAAAAAACCCTGAGTGAATGAGTAAATGAATGGGTGATGGTTTTGGAGTGGGCAGTTTGAGGTTTGAAAAGAAGGTATAGGATGGTGGAAGAAGATGAGAAGAATAGAGAAAAAGGAAATAATTGGTATGTCTAAGTTTTTCATTTTGCTTTCCTGCTTGAAGGGAATAAAGTTTTCATTTCATCAAAACTTTATTGAGCATCCAGTATGTGCTAGGCACTTTGCTAGATGCTAGTAATACAAAGATGAAGATCAAAACAAAACCGAAAACCACGCCCTTACTCCCCACCCGACCCCCCAATTTAAGGCAGGTTTGGCTTGAGCCTGGGAAGATGGCTGCTCAGGGATTCAGGAGCAGGGCATGGCACACGCTCATCACCGCTATTTTCACCTCTGTGTCTCAGGCTGACCAGCAGGCACCCCTTCTCCAAGTCTTGCATCTCTCACATTTGCCTGAGCAGCCTTCCCCACCCTGGGTACAGCACCCAGGAAGGCTAAGGGAGCAGTCCAGGCTACCTGGGGGAGCTGCAGACACTGCTCAAGTGGGCCTGCCGAAGTGCACAGGGACACACAGTGAGAGGGGAGCTGTGGAGATGAAGGCAGGGGGCAAAATGAGAAATCTTTGTGTCCTGGGGGCTGGGGCACAGTGTGCCCCTGTGTGGAGGTTGTGGATCTTGCGGCTTTGGGACTTGCTCCTGGGAAAGTCAGAATTGAAGATCAGGAGTTGAGGAGGGACCAGGCAGGCAGGATCCTCTGAGGACACTAGGGAGGGCACACCCAAACACCCAACGCCTCTTTCTCTTTCTTCCTCCAAACTGTTCAAAAAGAGGTGGTGGCCTGAGCATGGCCCAGCCTCTTAGTATTTTGCATTAGTATCATTAGGGAGTCTGCCCTGTCCAGTGCCCTGGGATCTGAGGGTCCAGGAATAGGTGGGCATTGTTGCCTTGACACACTGGGGAGCACTAAGCCTCCTCCTAGATTAGAATCTTACTTCCTTCTGCTGGAGGAAACTCTATAACTGTCCCTAGGAGAGTGATTGTTTGAAAGGCTTGTTTTGTAAGGAAGCAGGGTAGAAGGCACAAATGTGAGACTCATCTGATTTAGCTTTCTGGGTGAGGGGGGAGAGTGGGCACCCACTTATGTAAAAAAGTAAGCCCACCCGTTTCTTCTTTTCACCAACAGAGACAAAGAATGCTTGGCATGGCATGCTGCCGCCACCGCCACCGCTGCCGCCGAGAGAGGCTTTGGGGAAAGGCCAAGCACAGAGGCTGAAGGCTTTGCATTGGCAGGCCCAGGTCGGGGGGCCAAGGAATGTGCCTGGGCTCCTCCCTCACCACCTTGTAAGACCCAGCACCCAGGGTCTGGAGAAGGTGCTCCAAGCTGCAGCGTTCACAAAAGTTCCTTGGTGCTCAGCAGAGCCTGTGTACCCCAGTAACCGGCGCCTGACTGGCTTTTCCTTAGTGAAGCGCCTTTGTATGTTTTGGACAAGGGGCCTCCCTAATATGGTGTATGTGGGGAGAGGCTGACGGAATTGGGTGATGGTTGGGGTGAAAGGAAAGCGGGTGGGAAGCATAAGGACTCCCTAGGAAGAGCACAGGATAGTCATGGGGTGGGGTGGGGGGTTAGGTTACTGATGTTAGTTTCCGTGAGACCCTTTTAGAGGTTGAGCCGGAAATGTAATAATCTATACGGTCCTAAGAGCGCACAACCCAATACCCACTGAGAGCACAGCCGGTAAACCCAGAGCAAAGGTAACCTGGTTCCACCGCCAGATCAAATTGCTCCCTTGCCGAGGCAACGCCCCCATCCGCTCTTGCTCACACACGTCTGCACCCCAGTCACCTGCGTCCCAGCCCTGACCCCCCTCACCCTTCGCCGGTAGCACCCCGACTTCCTGGCCCTCCCGGCCGCCAGCTCCACACGTGGGTGCCGGAGGGGTATCTCTGGAGCGGGTATCAGGCGCTGATCTCCACCGAGCCAGCCTCGTCTTGCTCGCGGATTATGTGCACACCCGCAGTCCGCAGTGTGCGCGAGGCGCTGCGCGAGCGGCCGGGCGAGCTGGGAGCCCGCGGCGGCGACGAGTGCGTCCGGGCGGTGGCGGGGGAGCGCACCGGGGAGCGCGGGTAGCGGCGGGCGGAGCGGATGGGCAGCCCCGGCGAGCGGCCGGGCACGGGCGGAGACACGGAGTAGCCGGGAGGGCCGGGCTCCGACGTGCTCCTAGGCTCCGGAGCGGGGTTCTCCTCGGACTCTGGGGAGTCCTGCAAAGACACACGCCGCAGGGGTCAGCGGCAGCCAGACCCACGCGGGAGCGCGTCCCCGTTAGAGGACGCCGGGCTACGAGGGGGAGACCCGCACCGCCAGCCTCCCAGTAGGCGGCGACACCAGTCTGGCATTTCTCTGATGAAGTGTCACTCAGCATGGACCCTGGTACATAATCAGTGTTCTGTAAAGGTTGACAAGCATGGATTGCTTTGTCACTCCTCTTTCCACCTGCACTGGACAGCCTCGGGCACGGCCTTGGGACAGTGAGGACAACCCCAGAGTTGGTGTCCAAAGCCTAGGTTCCAAATCCAGATCTGCCATTTACTTGCCTAATTCCGTGCAATAATTTCCTGTCTCAGCAATATTTTCTAATCTTTAAAATGGGGACGACACGAATATCTCACAGTGAAGGACAATATAGCATGACTCCTTGGCATTCGGCGGAGCTCACTGCGTGTTGGGATGGGGCGCCCCCACTAGAGCTACTCACCTTGTCCTTCAGAACATAGAGTGCCATGGGGTTCTTCCGGTCCTGTTCCCCGCTTCGTGGGAGGGTGTCTGCTGCATAGGGGAAAGAACAGCGTGGCTGGCCCAGGTACAGGCCCGGGCCAACAGTCAGCGCCTATACTCTGCTCCCAAGTGGCCATCAGGGTCTCGGTCACAGCCTCTACCAACATATCTGAACAGCCAGGTCCTACCTTGGCTGCGTTTCTCCCTGCTCTGCAGTCTCTGAGCAGCTGGTGTAGGAAGGGGCCCTGCGGAGCCGGCTTCACCTCACCCACTCCTGCCTTTTCCCAAGAGCCCACTGGTCTGAGGGCCGATGGGCTGAGTTTGTAGGAGCGGATGCTCACCTTCTGGTTTCAGACGGTCATCATTCTGATCCATGTATTCTAGGGAGTTTTGCTTCTCCAGCTTTCTCTTCTTCCTAAAAATTGATACAGCCCCCCATGAAAAACAGAGCTGGTGAATGTGAGCAGGAGAAGATCTGGGGAGGAAGACCCAGGGAAGGTTCTGAAGGCCATAAGAGAGGGCTTGGGATAGGACAACAGGCTGTATGTGGTGGGACCAGCGGGTAGTTCACGAGCTTTGGAATGAGTCACATCTAGGTTTGCATCTTGAGGCTTCACCAGCACTGTGACACCAGCAAGTCCCTTATCCAGTGTGAACCTCAGTGTCTTTATCAGTAAACTGCAAGTAGTCAGTTTTAAAAGGTAGTATGCATGCTAACCCCAACACGGTGCCTAGCTCAAAATGCAAGTGAAAGCATTATTAACAGTGCTTGGGGGGGGTCAGAGGCAGTGAGCACAGAACACAGTTCCCTAGGAAATAGACAGATGTCCTGGCGTGAGGTACTCAGTCCAGGGAGGAAAGGTATTTTAAGAGATTTAAAAACAGAATGGAGCTTAGGTTTGGGGAGCTCAAGGTGTGGAACTTGAGGAGTTACCTCGACTTTTTGGAGGGTTTCCAGCAAGCACAGACTGTCACCAGTGTCACAAGGAGGAAGATGCCACCTGTCGACAAGATGATGTAGAGGGAGCTTCTTCCTAGAGAAAGACAGAGAGGAGAGGGAGAGACAGAGAGAAGGAGAAGGAGGAGGAGGAGGAGAAGAAGAGGTGGGAGAGATTTTGGAGTAGGGCAGCAGCCATTGCAAGCAGAGCTCCTGGCCACAGAAGGAAGAGGAAAGGAGCCCCAGGCGGCATGGTGGTCAGTGGTGGGACTGGAATACAGCCACTTCCCACTGTTTCTGTCCTCCATGGATAGCTGGCCCATCCCCGCCCCCTTTTTTTCTCTCCAGGGCCGCTTTCTAGAATGTCCTTAGTCTCCACGGGCACCTGCCTGTTGGAGCGGGCTGGGAGACTCACTGTACACGGTGATCTTGACAGGCAGGCTGCGGACCTGGCTGATGGGGTTCTCCACCACGCAGCTGTACAGGTCGTCATCCTCCATGAGCACGCGGGTGATAGTGAGCACCTTTTGGTCAGGGGACAGGAGCATTCGCGAGTCATTGAGGAGGGGTTTGCCATCCTTCAGCCAGGTGTAGCTGGGCTTGGTGCCATTCTCATGGGAGCAGTTCAGAGTGAAGGCCTCGCTGAGCTCCAGCACTGTGGTTGAAGCCACTAACACCTGTGGCCTTGAAATGGGCACTAAGTCCCAGAGGTGGAGGAACCTGTGAGTCATAGACTACAAAGCTTCTCCCTTCCCTTTACTCCCTACCTTCCAGCACATTATAGCTCAATCTGTGGGCTGAGAAACCCTTTGGGGGCCTTAGTCCAGACCTCTCCCATCAGCCACTCCATTCACTAGTTATAGAAGTGCCTACTGGTCATAGGGGGAAACAATACAGAGCAAGAGAGCCATGGTGTCTGCCTTTATTGCTTTCTTCCCAAATACTTTTCCACAACCACTGGGCTTTCAGGTTTTAAACTCACCCAGTAGAAGACATTTTAGTTAGGGGAAACCTAGGTCCAACTGTCTGTGCTCAAATCTTGGCATTGTCAGTTGATTGGGTAAGTTCCTCAACCTTTCTGTGCTTTACTTTCCTCATCTGAAAAATGGGGAGAATGACATTACCATCCCTATGTTATTGCAAGCATTAAGTGAGTTGAGATACATGAAGTATTAGAATAGTTCCTGGCATGCAATCAGTACTCTGTTCACATTAGCTGTGCTGTGTGCTGACTTCTAATATTCATTGGTTAACTCAGGTCTCCAGTGTCATTTTATTCACCTTAGTAGTGGGGATTGAAGCCAGAAAGTGCTTAGCTACATCCCTAACCCTTTTTATTATTTTATTTTGAAACGGGATCTCACTAAGTTGCTCAGGCTGACCTCGAACTTGTGATCCTCCTGCCTTCAGATTAGCTGGGATGACAGGTGTGCACCTCATGGCTTTTGTGTTGGTTTTCCCTGAGTCTAGCTGATCCTGCCCCTGCCCCTGCCCCGGGTCTGTCCCACCTCCTTCCCCGCAGAGTGCTTTACCATCCACTGTGAGGTTGATGGTCTTCTCCCCGGTGAAAGTGGCATCAGTGATAGAGATCTCCACCTCATAGGTGCCTTCATCAGCCAGCTGCAGATCACTGAGAAGCAGGGAACCGTTTTCAAAGAGCCGGATGCGGTCTCGGTAGTCAGGGCGCAGGTTGCCGATGACCTCTGTGCCAAGGGACTGCACCACAGTCACCGGCTTGTCCCGTTTCAGCTGCCACTTCACTACGGGTTTGTCACTGCTGGTGCTGCTGTACTGCACGGAAAGCAGTGCCGACTTCCCCACTGTGCCATGGATCAAACGCACTGGGCTGGTGATGTTCACCCCCTCTAGGGGGTCTGTGAACAGAGATCCATGGGGAAGAGAGCTGGGTCAGGCCCTCGGCGCCTTAGCCCACTCCCACCTTTAAATCCTTGAGTCCCCCAGTGCCTTGGCCCATGGGCCTTTTGCTCCCAGCCACATGCTTCCTCCCTACTGGTGCCATCGCCCCTCCCACAGTAGATCTGTGCCCTCTGCTCTTTGGCCTTGCCTCACAGCGAACCCATAGCCCTCCTTCTGTCCACCTGCCTTTCTGGCACTTATCCCATGGCCTTCCTCTTGTAGAAGATTCCACTTAGTCCCTGCTCCGTGAACTCCATTCACAGAAATACCTACAGAGCACCTTCTATGTGCCACATACTTTCTATGGCTTTCAGATAAATCAAGAGCAAAGCAGAGAGATATCCCTATCTCCGGAAGCTTGCAGGCCATTAGACATCATGATGAGTTAGTTTTCTTCTTGATTGGGGATTGGGGTATCAGGAGATGGAGAAAGCACAGGAAAATAAGTTTTGGAAGAAAAGAACATGTCACAAGATGATGCTAATACAGGGAAAGTTTAAGGACCTGAAGCCATGACCTTTTTCATCAAGAGCCTCCCCTATTCTTATCCTGGCATAGTTCTGCAACTGGGTAGGCAATTTCAGAAGTTCACTCTAACTCCAGTCCAGTTTGTATTTCTGATAGAAGAGGGACCTGACTGGGTAGAACAAAGAATTTAAAATCAGACGGCCTTGCTGGAGGTATAACCCATTGGCACAGTGCTTGCCTGGCAAGCAGAGGTCGTGAGTTTGATTCCTGGCACCAAAATAAATAATAAAATAAAATAAAATCAGATGGCCTTGCAAGGCTGGACCCTGCCACTTACTGGTTGCATAGATTTGGGCAAGCAGTCTTTCTAAGCCTCCTCCTTCTCATTTATAAAATAAGAATAGTAATAATAATAGTAACTATAACTGCCTTATCACATCCATAGGATTGTATCCAGCACAATATCCAATTCTTTGTTGTATGGTGGGAAAGAACACAAGGCTGAGCCCTAGAGATAGGTGCCCCATTGCTGCGTTGTATGACTTAGGAGATCTCACTTGTCTGTGTAGGGTTTAGATTGCTCACAGGTAATATGAATAGCTGGCTGGATGGTCTCATTGTTTCTTCCAGCTCTGTGATTCTAGGATTTTACCACCTTGTCTAATGGATGTCCATTAGACGCATCTCATATTCCAAGACCTCTTAGGAACTTTAGGGCCTGAACAGATGCTGTTCATTAGTGTCACCTGGCCAGGGAGAGCTTTGCAACCACCCCAGAGAAGCTCTTTTGGGGAAAATGCTAATTGGGAACAGAGGTGAGTTTAGGTGAGGAGACACACGTACACACCAGACTGGCGGTCCCTTCGGAACTCCAGCTGCTTCCTTGGTCCTTCCCTTTGAAGTTCTCTTTCCTCATTCTTATTTCTCACTCTGCTATTGCTGCAGATTAGAGTCGGGGAAGCTGAGCTGTACTTTCTTTTTCTCATTCCCCTCCTTGGGGCTAAAGAGCCCAGACCAAATCAAGAAATAATTGAACCAAAAGATGGATTGAGGCAATCAAAGCAATTGCAATTCTGTTCCACTTTCTTATATGGTCCACTTTTGGAATAGCTGCATTGTTAAGTGGTAAGTGCCTCATCTTTGCCACTTGACTCTGTTTCCCCTCTCTTAGCCTCAGTTTCCTCCTCTGTATAATGAAACAGTGGAACGCAATGGTTTCAAAGTGCTTCCTTTGAAAGCACTCTCTTATTCATCACTAGTCAGGTATGTGAGAATCATATAACCTTAAGAATGGAAAATATGATGCTAATGATTAAAGCTGCCCTATGTGTGGGTGTTGACTTTTTTTTTTTTGTACTGAGAATTTAACTAGTACCTTCACACTAAGCTATATCTTCAGCCTTTTTAAAAATTTTTAAATTTTGAGACAGGGTCTTATTGAGTTGCTAAGTTGCCCAGGCTGGGCTTGAACTTGGGATCCTCCTGCCTCAGTCTCCCAGGATGCTAGGATTATAAGCATGTCCCATCACACCCAGCTAATATCTGAATGTTGTATGCTTGCTGATGGGAAGTCTTAATCTGGGGGAAGTAGAATGAAACAATATGATATTTCTAAACATTTTCTATTGAAGCTATTTTTGTCCCCACAAATCTTACATAAAAATGAAAATAAATTAAATATGTTTCTAGCTTATTTGCTTAGGTAGAAGAGGTGGTGAGGAACTGACTCCAATCTTCCCCCGTCATTTGAGGCCGCTAGAAATCCCTATGGCTCTCTGTAGCAGAATGAAATCCATTTGCCCACATGACCCACACATTTCTTTTTCCCAACTTTTAATTTGTGTGGTTCTTTAAATAGGATTCCTTGCCTAGCAACTGCTAGGTTCCAGGCTTGGCTTCATTTAGAAACCCAAGTTACAGATTTTTGTGAGTAGGCAAATAGGCTTTGGTGTGTATGATTTGAGGTAGTCCTGAGAAAACCAGTGAAGCTTCACTAAAGACCACAGAGTGATAGTTAGAGAAGGTCTACTTCTCAAAACCCAGCCTGAAATGGTGTGGTGTGCACACGAGGCTTGTATGTGCAAGGCCCTCCTGAAGTTTAATATATATATATATATATATTGCTCTTGCTGTGGTTTAAATATAGTTTGTCCCCCAAGGGTTTATGTGCTGGAAGCTTACTTCCCAATGTAGCAATATTAAGAGGTGGTGAAACCTTTAAGAGGTAGAGTAGATTAGATGACAGGGAACACCGCCCTTGGATGGGATTAAGGCAGTTATCCTGGGACCCAGAGTTAATTCTTGAGAAAAAAACTGCTATAAAGGAAGGAGACTGCCCGCCCCTACTTTCTAGCTTCCTGTTTCACCATTTGATCTCTTCTTCTTCCATGTACTTGCTAATCCATCTGCTGTGATGGACAGCCCTTGTCAGAGCCAGTGCCATGCTGTTTGAACTTTCTGCCTCCAAATCTCTGAGCTAAATAAACCTATTTCTTTATAAAGTCCCCAGCCCAATGTGTTTCATTTTAGCAATGGAAAACTGAGATCTGAAGCACCAAACTCTGAGGTTTCTCAGTTCCTTCTTCCACGGGGCTAAACAGTGACAGTCCTAATCCCCAGGGCAAATGGAAGGGATTCCTTTTCTCCCTTAATAGTCTCTAACCTCTCTGGAGATTCTCTGGCTGTGACCTTCTATTCCACTCCACACTCCAACTGGCCATTTTGTGATGTCTTTCCCCTGAAATTCTGCTTTTTCTGCCTATTTTATTTTATTTGTTTTGTTTTGTTTCATACTGGGACTGAAACTCATGCTTGTCAGGCAGCTGCTGAGCCGCTGAGCTATATCCCCAGCTTTTCTGCCAATTTAAACTTGATTTATTCTGGATAAAAGCAGTGGGGAAGCTGCGGCCCATGGATTGCCTTACCCTGGTCTAGATGGTGCCCCTCTCATGCCTGGGAACGTAGGTCGGCTCATGAGTAGAGCTGCATGTGCACATGCCCATAACTGAGTGCAGCAGGTTTTTACAGAAGCTGACACAGAGGGCATTTTGCTGAGCAGGCACTGTTTACCAAAGACTCTATCCAGAATCAGAATCCATGCTAAGTTCAGGGTTTCACAACCTTCAAAAGACACAGAGAATTGGGACAGGAGCCAAGACAGGATGCAAAAGTGAGGAAATGGCTAATAATGCCAGTCCCAAAATGCATAAAAGGGACTAGGACTATTCAGCCTGGAGAGTAATTAACTTCATCATTGCCTCTGAGGCATCACATGTACAAAGTTTCTGTTCCTACTAGAACCTGAACAAAAGATGAGCATCTTCACAAGATGTTCCTGTCATGCACGCCTGTAATCCCAACACGTGGGAGGCAGAGGCAGAAGGACCATTGCAAATTTGAGGCCACCCTGGGCAACAAAGTGGACTCAAGGCCTGCGTGAACTGCATAGCAAGACCCTGTCTCAGGAAAAAAAAAAAAAAGATGCTCCTGTCAACCTGAACAATATGTGCTGAGTTAGCTTGCTGGCTCATCCACAAGTAGGATTTTGATATTAAGAAGTGTCAAATTCAAAGTATAAGAACATATATGCACAGAGCCTTGGGCTCCCTTCATAGCTTCTTCCCTGAAAGAAATCACCATCTATTCATTTTTGTGGGCTCCCTTGGATAGGCAAAAGTTTCCTTAAATTTATCTTTTAAAAGCATTGATGAGAAATGGCACAATGGTGCACACTTGTAATCCTAGTACTGAAAGAGGCTGTAGCAGGAGAATCACAAGTTCAAGTCCTGCCTGGGCAGCTTAATGAGACTCTGTCTCAATGTAAAAAATAATTAAAAAGGGCTGAGGCTGTAGCTCAGTGTGAAAGCTCTAGGTTCACTTGGGGGTGGGAGTGGGGTTCAGTGGGATGGGCCCAAACTTGTATTCCAGGATGTGGTCTTTCTACAATTTATCTATACTCTCCAATACCAAGGACTGTAGTTACTGCCTTTATCTGAAGGATTTTTTATTTGTTTGTGTCTGTCTTCAGAAAGAAATCCTCCATCCCTTCACCCAGCAGACTCTGGAGCTTTCTCTGACTCTAGTAGTACAGTATTTTCCTTTCTGAGGTGTAGTGACCAGAACTATTCATAATAGTCAGGGCAGCACATGGCTTGGTGTTTTAAGTGGAAAAGCATGCTGTTTTCTCCTTTTGGTTTTCAATATTCTTCCTAATTATCAATAATTCAAGAAAATACTCCTGTTACTACTGTATAGGTCCATTGCTTATTGTATAAATGATGGTATTGTTGGGTTATATTCTTATGTCATCCTGTTGAAGCCTATAAGGGACTATAAAAGTGTGCAGTTGTTCGAAGTGTCAGTCATTCAGAAATGTGGGAAAAAATTAGGAAACCAAAACTATAAAGAAGACCATTGGCATCCAAGAAGACAGGGTTGGGAGATTTTTATCTACATTCTAAGGAGCAGAAATGTTGAGGAATGCATATGC